CAACATCTATCATACACCAGCTTCTATCATACACCAGCTTCTATCATACACCATCATCTATCATACACCAGCATCTATCATACACCAGCATCTATCATACACCATCTATCATACACCAACATCTATCATACACCAGAATATATTATACACCAGCATCTATCATACACCATCTATCATACACCAACATCTATCATACACCAGAATATATTATACACCAGCATCTATCATACACCATCTATCATACACCAACATCTATCATACACCAGAATATATTATACACCAGCATCTATCATACACCATCTATCATACACCAACATCTATCATACACCAGAATATATTATACACCAGCATCTATCATACACCATCTATCATACACCAACACCTATCATACACCAGAATATATTATACACCAGCATCTATCATACACCATCTATCATACACCAACATCTATCATACACCAGAATATATTATACACCAGCATCTATCATACACCATCTATCATACACCAACACCTATCATACACCAGAATATATTATACACCAGCATCTATCATACACCATCTATCATACACCAACATCTATCATACACCAGAATATATTATACACCAGCATCTATCATACACCATCTATCATACACCAACATCTATCATACACCAGAATATATTATACACCAGCATCTATCATACACCATCTATCATACACCAACATCTATCATACACCAGAATATATTATACACCAGCATCTATCATACACCATCTATCATACACCAACATCTATCATACACCAGCATCTATCAGCTATCAATTATCACCTGTTCACGCGGGTATAATTGCCGGCTCGACCGTGTGACCTAACACGGTAGTATGAAGACCGCGAGAACGGGTTATAGAGAAGGTTTATACTAGCAAGTAGGCGGGCTGACCGGTCATTACTGATGGCGTTGACATACTAGGGATCTGTGGTGATCTGTCTTCATAGTGCGATTGGGTGTAAGGGGGGTTAGAGTGAGAAGGAGGGTGTAGGGATGTAGGAGGTGTAGAGAGGGTGGGTTGTAGGAATGTGGGGGGTGGTGGGGAGGTGTAGGGGGCGTGGGTAGGAGGGTGTAGGGGGTGCAGGTTATGGGGTGTATGGGGGGGAGTGGAGTAGGAGGAATGTGAGGGAGTGCCAGGTTCATGGGGTGTGGGGGTGGAGTGGGAGGTGTGGGGTGCAGGTTGTAGGGTGTAGGGGTGGGTGGGGAGGGGTGTGGGGGTGGGTAGCAGGAGGTCAATGAGGTGCGGGTTGTGAGGGTGTGGGGGTGAATTACAAGGAGGTGTGAGGGGTGCAGGTTGTGGGGTGTGGGGGGTGGAGTAGGAGGGTGTGGGGGTGGTTGTGGGGTGTGGGGGGTGGGTAGGAGGGTGTGGGGGTGCGGAGTTGGGGTGTGGGGTGGAGTGGGAGGGTGTGGGGTGCAGGGTTGTGGGGTCAGGGGGTGGTGGGAGGGGTGGGGGTGCTGGGTTGTGGGGTGTGGGGGTGGGTGGGAGGGTGTGGGGGGTGGAGTGTAGGGGGTGTACTGGAGATAACGGGGTACAGGCACTGGGACCTGACATGACGATCTCGACAGGAAGGTGAGAGTTGGTAACACTGTACCACCTTGTATACCGTCGACCTGGCAACACTGATTTGTGTACCTTCTGGTGAAATATTTTATTGTATACCTTGTGAGCCTGTGTACCTGTGAGACCTGTGTATTGTGTACCTGTGTGTTGGTGACAGTCTGTGAGTCACCTGATTACTACACCTAGGTAAGGGGACTACACCTACCTACACCCTGTGTGTTGACAGGTGGGGACGACCTCGCCGGGGCGTGAAAGTGTACACAAAATAAATATCAATGTTTACACAGTGTAAACATTGATGTGTACATAGTGTAAACCAAAAAGATGTACACAGCGTAAACACTGCCCATATGATGTTTGTTTAGTCCTACCACAGCTACCAGGGGTGTGATGGTGGTAGTTGTGGTGGTGGTGATGGTTGCTGTGATAATAGTGGTGGTGATGGTTGCTGTCATAGTAGTGGTGATGGGGGTGAGGGTTGTTGTGGTAGTAGTGGTGTTGGTGGTAACAGTTACTGTTATGGTAGTATTGCTTTTTTGTGGTGGTAATTGTTGTTGTTATGATTTTTTGTTGTGGTGGTAGTTGTTGTTAAGTGGGTTTCAGTTTTGTTGAGTCATCGTTGTGGTAGAAACACTGGCCACTGATCATGTCTCAGACTGTCACCACCTACAGTACACGAGGAAGAGACGCCCTGTCGTCCTGCTGAGCTTCCACATAGGGATGAAGTGATGGGTTCTTGCTAGCGTAGGAACCTTGTTGATGTCCGCAGAGTGCCTGAGGCTGAAGGAATTGGGGAGGGGGAGGGGTAGACAGGAGGACCTTGCTTCGTATTCCAAGGCATGGAGAGCCGAGACACTCGGCTGTCTGGTGGCAGTACCAAGTGTCTCACCACTACACACACACATCTTGGAGCGACAATGTATCTCTGCTCCACAAACTTGAATCACATCTCGGTGCCGGAAGTCACTGTCTCAGCGATGACGATTACCTGTACTGTGCTGTAGGTCCTGGTAGTGTGCCCCGGGCCTACCAAAGTCAGGCAAGGTTTGCCCTGAGCCAGGCTGGGTGTGCCCCGGGCCCCCAGAGCCAGTCTGGGTGTGCCCCAGGCCTACCAAAGTCAGTCAAGGTTTGCCCTGAGCCAGGCTGGGTGTGCCCCGGGCCCCCAGATCCAAGGGACCGTGTTGACTCTCCGTCGCCCAGTTTGGTAACACAAGTTCAACAAGTGAGGCGTCAGAAACAGTATTAGGTGTTTGTTGTTCTCGCGTCGCCTTTACTGCCGTCCTAGTTTAAATTTGTTCCACTAACGCAACACTGACTCGCAGTTCACCTGATGACGTCAGCGTCTCGGCTGGCGTCTTGAGGGACACTGAACTGTCTTACACGAGTCCGGGCGCTCTCACTCTCAGGTTTGTTAAAAGACTTTCTGCATAATTGTATCATTAGTATTTACACACGTCAACCCTTTATTTTGGGTATTTAGTAAACCTGAGTAGTAACCTGAAGTTTTGTTTGAGTCACCCACCAAGTGTTTACAGTTTTCTGTTGAGAATTGTGGAATTTTGGTCTGTCGAGGTTCATTATCTTAACACAATTTGTAACTAGTTTACTTCTACAACATCTCTCCAGGACTGTGTTTAGATATGTAAGTATAATGATATCTTTTGGGGATTCATCAAGCACACGCGTCGTAACACTTCGTAGTATATGAGTGTTATGTTCTAATAGTTTTCCTTTTTTTTGTTGAACATTTGCCAGCGAGTTTTTGAGCGAAGCATCACCCGCAAACTCCAACTTACATAACGTCTTTTACAGTTTCCAATAGTATTAAGAGTAATTAAAAGTGTCATATATAATTTCAGCTTCACAAACGTCCACTACATCACTACATTTTTAGAACATTTCATTTTATTATTTTTTTTTAACATTTCAGTTTGGTAAATACAAAAGTACACTGAGGGTGAATGGTGGTTTTCTTCCTTACTTCTACACAAAGTTTTTATCTTCACTGTACGTATGAGAATTATCCCTCTAGTTCAAGAGTGATATGAAGCACCTTGGTGATCGGGGAAGCATTGCCACGCCCCTGGGCGTCTTCCCGGGCAGTGAGTCAGCTGGTGCGAGCTACAGTACTCGACGGGGAGTCGCGTCTCTCAGCTGGCACTCCTCATCACACCACCTGTCATCCTCCCTGTGGCCGGCCAGATGGTTCATATACACACACGAGGCCAGATGGTTCATATACACACACTAGGCCAAGAACCATCATATGTGGGGTTCTCTTACTAGTGGTTCTCTTACACATATAATCCCTGAACCTTGTTGCACACACACACACACACACACCTCTCCAGGAGACATCTGATAGAGGTTCTCTTCGCCTGGGACAACAAGGAGCTGTTATCTCTGTTCTGCTGGTGAGCCTTGTGTCGTCCCTCACACAACATGAGGCACCACTTTGAACCCGTAGTCGTCCTCAGCCCCGGCAAGCGACGAGCAACTGCTGGCAGTTACCGCGGCCTTACCTGCGTGTTGCTGCTGCTGTTGTTGCTGCTGCTGCTCCCCGATGAATTCTTGTTGAAAGTCTTGCTGATACTCTTGCTGCAGGGAGGCGGAGAGACAGCGCCGGTGGTCACGATCTCTGAAGATGGAGTAGAGGTTACTACGCTGCTTTGGTTTATTGGTTGTGGGTTTGAGTACTGCAGCCCCCTCTTGTTGCTGCTGCTGCTGTGATGGGCTGCCCTGGGCCTGTGTCGCCGCCACAGGGGACGAGGCTGTAAGGCTGATTTTGGGGGTGGTCATTGGGGCTGAGGGAGGACTTGTCGCAGGCTTGAGTGGAGGTACAGGTTTGACTCCCGGCGACTGCACAGATCTTTGTGGTTTCGGAGGCTTCGGAGGAGGAGTTGGTTTGGTACGAGTCTGACACTGTGAAGGCTGTTGTAGCAGTGTGTGTGTGTTGTGTGTCTGTTTCTCGGGCGTCTGTCCGTGGTGCACCGCTTGTTTATTATGTGGTTGTTGGGTTTGTACTTCTGGTGGTTGGCGGCGCTGTACAGGCAACGGCTGCTGGGGTCGAGAATGCTGATGTCGTGACTGTTGCTGTTTCTGCGGCTGTGACTCCTGGGGTTGTTGCTGCACAGCGCTGTTCCTGAAGAGGTGTGGCGGCCTGGCAGGCAGTGGGGGAGGGAGGGTGTCAGAGGGCCTGGGAGAAATGGTGGCCTCGTACAGTATCTCCTCATACAGGTGATAGTCAGAGGCGCTGTCATACGAGGACTCGGAGGTGGTGTCGTCGAGGTGGTGGTGCTTGTGTCGTCGGAGGTCGTGCAGGGGGAGACGCGAGGCCCCGAGCGCCTCACGCGCGTCGCTGGAGAGGCTGCGGCCGTCTAGTGAGAGAGGTCGGGCGACGGAGCGGCAGTGGAGGTCGTCGAGGACGGCCAGCACACACCGCGCCACGCCCGCCGAGCACTGCGGCGCCTGCACCCGGGGGACGCAGCCGGGGGGGCACAGGGGCGCGCTGCTCCCCCCGGCCCCGTCACTGGCTGAGCAGCAGACTGTCAGACCCACTGTCATCCCTGTGGTGGTCAGGAGAACATGGTGTTAGTATATGGTCACTTGTATAATAACACTACAGTATACCTTAGAGTATACACACATACATTATTACTATGACAGTACTACACCTGCCACACTACAGTTGTATAACACCCTACACTGGTATTCTCTTAACAGCTCTACAGTATATACCACACAACCTCCAACTGCTGTACAGTACACTACATAACATCTTCCTTCACTGTCTCACCAGAGGTTGGTCGCCTCACCGAGTAGACCAACACTGCCGTCTGCTTGGTCTCTCCTACACACATTTATTGTAACAACACTACCCCGGGCGCCTGTCTGTGGCTTCCTGTATTGTTGTATGGCTGTAACACACCACTCCCTGTAACACCGCTGTAACACTCACTGTACTTACTGTAACACTACTTCATGTAATGCTGCTTTAACACTGTTACTGTATCACCGCATTACAGCATCCTGTATTACTGTGTTAGTGACATACACCTAGCGGTCATCCCCTAAACGAAACCGGAAGACCATTATCCCTGAGGGCGGTCACATGCTGAACTGTATACCTCATTGTCTATATTCCTGCTGAGCCAATTATAAACTTGTATGGTAATTATACTTCATGAATGAATATCTTTCGAGTTATCTGGTACAAAGTGAACGTTAACTGGTAGAGTCTCGGTGTAAATATCATGGGAGCTTTAGATGTTGTTTTCGTGGTTTAGTTTTAAGTCAAGCAGAGTTGTACGCACCCCACCCTGTACTGTAGAGGTAACGGGGGAGAGGACTATTGGAGAGACAAGCCTAACCTAACCTGGCTCAGTATTGTGGCCAAGGCGTGACCGACTGACCGCGGGAGCTTGGATGGGTAGCTGGGTCCACCGATTATTATTCTTCACTTTAACACAACCTTGCACTGATGGAATTCACCTAGGACAGCCTAACACAGACTGTCTCAACTATACTGTACACTAATTCAGTCCTAGCACAGTCTAACTCGGTCTTGATACAATCTTAACAAACTCCTAACATAGTCTGACTCGGACCTAACACAACCTAACTCAGTCTTAACCTTTGAGTCAGTCCTAACAGTGTCATACTGCCTTAAGCACTGAACTAGCATACCTTGGGTTCATTAATAGTGATAGTGTTTACTAAGTGGCGCCTCACTATTTACCACTAACAATAATGTTATGCTCAGTGAGTGGGTAGAATTATGCTCGATACAGGTGTGTTTGTGTACAGTCGCGGACAAAACTCCCCGGATACTGGACAGTGTCTGGGCTGTAAGTACACTACCTGAGAATCGTTAGGTGACGGCCATTGGAATTTTAAAGTATTTTCTCCGATTTTTCTTCGTATTAAGGAATAAATTTGTTTTTGTCCGTTTTGTGGTTCTGACATAATGTGTGATGAAAAGAAGTGTTAGTACTGTAGATATAGACCAGTGTAACAACCATTAGTAGATACCAGATATTATCAAGTGTTCAGAGAATTTTGTTCGCAACTGTACATCATTTTCCCCAAGTTAACGAAGGAGACTAATTAGTATGTTTTATGGTCTACGGTCATCTGCCCCCCCCCCGTCTACAGTTACCGTCCATCCTACTACCTCTCTACCTCCACCACTACCTCTACCTCCACCACTACCTCTCACCACTACCTCTCTACCTCCACCACTACCTCTCACCACTACCTCTCTACCTCCACCACTACCTCTCACCACTACCTCTCTACCTCCACCACTACCTCTCTACCTCCACCACTACCTCTCTACCTCCTCCTTCTCTACCTCACTCTTTCCTCCACCGGCTCCTTACTCCATCTCTTCCTCCTTCACCCCTCCTTCGTATCCATTACTTGCTATTTCTGTTACCCCTCCCCTCCCCAGATCCATGATACCCCTCCTACCCAACTTTTGTCTCTCATCCTCCCCCCTCCCTTTCTCCCCCAAGACACGTGCCTCTCCCCTCCCCTCCTCCCTCCCTCCCTACCCCCCTTCCCTCTCCCCTCGGTTCCATTACCTCCCCCCTCCAAGGTCCATCACAGGATTGTCCTGACCATGACCACTAATTCACCCTCCCCCTGTTCTCCCTCTCCCCCTATTCCCCTCTCCTCCCCCCTCCTCTCCACCAGTAAGGGCAGCTAGCGGTCAGAGTGTATGGGTATGGAGGTGTGAGGCTGAGGCTCCTGTATATGTGGGGAGGGAGGGCCTGTCTCCCTGATGGTACCCACCCCTCACCCTTTCCTCACCCTGACACACCTCTCCCACCCCTCCTCTTCCCCCACCCCCTGCCTCTCCCACCCCCCTCCTCTCCCCACCCCCTTCCTCTCCCCCACCCCCTATCCTCTCCTCTCCCCCCCCCTCCTCTCCCCACCCCTCCTCTCCCTCTCCACCCCTCCTCCCCACCCCCTCTCTCCCCCACCCCCTCCTCTCCCCTACCCACACAAGCCGCAACAAACACAGGATAATCTGACTTAGCCACATCTCAGTAGGGCTTAAGAGTTGGTGGTACATACACGGGACAAACGCTGCCATGGCCGAGTGATGGATAGTCCAGCTAGTGACGGATAGTCCGGCTAGTGACGGATAGTTCAGATAGTGATAGATAGTTCAGCTAGTGATAGATAGTTCAGCTAGTGATAGATTGAATTGAATTGGACAGTTTATTTAGCCAGAAAAACACAGATACAGAGTGGATAATAATAACAATATTAACATGGCTGAGAACCTGAGCTGCACCTGATATATACTATACATTTATCTCAAGGAAGTATTATGTAACATTTAGTATCATCTGGAATAGTACAATAGCATGGTGGTAATAAGATCATGTTACCACGGTTACCACTTCAATATTTATTTATTTTATTTATTTATTATTTTTTTGTAGATAGTTCAGCTAGTGATCTTAAAATGTACGTTGAACATTTATTAAGGAATCTGAACATTGTCAAAATTTCTGAACATTTTTAACTCTTATGAACACACAGGAACTAAGACAACATAATAATCGTCAGGTGAACTAAGCTGTGGGGCTAATCGTCAGGTGAACTAACCCTACAACTTTGTTAAACTTGACTTACTTGTGTCTCAACGCTAAGTACTAATAGGTCAGAGGTTCTCCCTACTTAAATCACTGACCATATTGGATTAACTAGTCTGATTAGATAATTAGATGACCTTTACTTACGGTCAACTCTACCGGAAGGGAAGTATATAAGTGAAATATACTCCAGGTAACATATACCATAGGTGAAATATTACGTAGAAAAATACCCGGGAAAAATAGTGAAATATATCCTTAAGGAAAATAACCTTAGGTGAAATATATCCTTGTATTACCTGGAGAAACAGAGCCCGGTGGATTAACAGTCGTACACACCTCTGAGGGGGCTACTCTCCTGACCTACTAAAGCCAGCCAAGCATGGTATAGTGTAGTAGTGAGGATATAGGCACCAGAGGAGAGTCGGGGGTTAGAGGAGTAAACACCACCTTGATCCTCCCCTCCCTGGTGCTGAGCCTAAGTAGAAGAGGATTGGAAGCCACTACCAACGACTTAAGCCTACCTGTTTACGGATCCTTTAGCAGCGGCAGGCGAGGAAGAGAAAAAGACAGTTTTTTTTTTGTTAGTAAAGTCTACAGAGGGTTAGTAGAATCGGATCTCGTTCTTCAAAAGTTCTTTATAAAGGTTCGTACGTTGAATAACAGATGCGTTTTGTTTTATGCATTTTTTCATGTGTTTTTGTTTTGTAATGTTTTTTTTTTTACGCGTTTATGATTTTTTGATGCGTTTATGTTTTTTGAAGCGTTTATGTTTTTTATGTTTTTAGTTATGCGTTTGTATTTTGTTTTTTAGGCCGGAAAATCTATATAGCATACGAACCTTTGTGTGTGTGAACTCGAGAACCTATTTATAATCCTTTATGTTTATAGAGGATGAGATTACATTAAGTTAAGTTTTTAGTGTTAGTGATAAAGAATTATATACAGTAGTACAGGATCCCCTCAACTCAATAGATATTAATTGGTTATTCTTACCACTAAGATAATTGATACAGATGGCATAGAGTAATTGATAAAGATTGACATTGAATAATTGTTAAAGACGACAGAATAAATAAAAGCAGAAAGAAAAAAATGATTATACCTACAAGAAATAGGAATACTTGTAAAAAAATAACTACTTATAATATTTACAATTTATAGCTGTAAAAACCAATAAGTAATAGTCAGTGTTACTTAAGAGATTATAGATAAGTGTTTTTAAGATACATTTATTTCTCGTAAAGTGATCTACAAATTACTTAACAGACTTATATACTTAAATGACTGTTAATAAAGTACTTTTGTATATTAATGTTCATCTGACACCACTTACATGCACTTGGCAATACTTAACCTAGGTCTAACTAGCTTGACACTTAAGTAAACTGTGACGCTACTTATTATATAATGTGACACCTCTTAACTTATAAAATGACACCTTTATCTCACCACGTTACGTAACCTGCACTTTGACACTAATTAACACACTGTGACACCACTTAACACACTCTAACACCACTTGACACACTATGGCACCACTTACTTACACTATGACACTTCACACAGATTGACACACACACACACACACACAAACACACACACACACACAAACACACACACACACACACACACACAACCACACACACACACACACACACACACACCACACCACCACCGCAGAAAACGAGACGAGGAAGTCAAGTTAGGTCAGCGTTGCCAGATACGTGTGAAATCCGTTCTTGTTCTGGTATTACTGAATAACATTTGTGAATTTGTTATTCTATATTTATTGTAACTCTGTACCTGTTACGTACCACCATCACGATACAGTCACCACGGGGAATACTGTACCTGTAATTTATACCTGAATCCTGTATTTGATCTGAAATTGTTGGATAAACTGTATCTTTGTGTGTTATGAACGAAAGAGGATGGTTGGCTTAGAATGGTTGAGGATTCACAGGTGACTGGATAACCTAACCTAACCTGATGTTCCTTCACACCTGTCCTGCCTCCCTTCAGGTAGGTGATAGGGTGCATGGCAATCAGCTGATAATGTTAGTGTCAGGTACTTTACTCTCTGTTTACCACCACCGCCACCACCACCACCCACCACCACCACCACCACTACCACCGCCACCACCACCACCACCCCACCACCACCACCCCACCACACCCACCCACCCCCCACCCACCACCAACACCACCCCCACCACCACCACCACCACCACCACAACCACCACCACCACCACCACCACCCACTACCCCCCCACCACCACCACCACCTCCACCCCACCACCACCACCACCCCCACCACCACCACCACCCTCCACACCACCACCACCACCCCCACCACCACCCCCACCACCACCACCACTACCCCCACCACCACCACCACAACCATCACCACCACCACCACCACCACCACCACCACCACCACCACCACCACCACCACCCCCACCACCACCACAACATCACCACCCCCCCACCACCACCACCACCACTACCCCCCCACCACCACCATTCCCCCCCCACCACCACCACCACCCCCCACCACCACCACCACCACCACAACCATCACCCCCCACCACCACCACCACCACCACCACCACCACTGCCCCCCACCACCACCACCACAGCCATCCACCACCACACAACCATCACCACCCCCCACCACCACCCCCCACCACCACCACCACCACCACCACCACCACCACCCCCACCACCACCACCACAGCCATCCACCACCACCATCACCACCCCCACCACCCCCCACCACCACCACTCCCCCACCACCACCACCACCCACCACCCCCACCACCACCACCACCACCACCACCACCACCACCACCACCACCACCACCACCACCACCACCACTACCCCCACCACCACCACCACAGTCATCACCACCACAACCACCACCACCACCACCACCACCTGCCCCCACCACCACCACCCACCCCACCACCACCATCACCACCCCCACCACCACTACTACCACCACCACCACCACAACAACAACCACTACCACAATCTTCTGACCTACCACCACTTCCCATTCTTCTTCTCCTTCCTCCTCCTTTTCATCATCTTCATCTCTTCCCAATCAACCCCAAATCTCTACCTCTCCTTCCCTCTCCCCAGACCTTTATTCTGTGTGGCTACTCTATCTCTCCTACTATCTCCCTCCTTCTCTCCTACTATCTCCCTCCTATCTCTCCTACTATCTCCCCTCCCTATCTCTCCTATATCCTCCTATCTCTCCTACTATCTCCCCTCCTATCTCTCCTACTATCTCCCTCCCTATCTCTCCTATCTCCCCCTCCTATCTCTCCTACTATCTCCCCTCCTATCTCTCCTACTATCTCCCTCCCTATCTCTCCTACTATCTCTCTACTATCTCCCTCCCTATCTCTCTACTATCTCCCTCCCTATCTCTCCTACTATCTCCCTCCTATCTCTCTACTATCCCTCCTATCTCTCCTACTATCTCCTCCCTATCTCTCCTATATCTCCCTCCTATCTCCTCCTATCTCTACATCTCCTCCTGTATCTCTCCTACTATCTCCTCCTATCTCTCCTACTATCTCCTCCTATCTCTCTACTATATCCTCCCTATCTCTCCCTACTATCTCCTCCTATCTCTCCTACTATCTACTATCTCCTCCTGTCTCTCCACTATCCCTCCCTATCTCTCCTACCATCTCTCCTCCTATCTCTCCTACTATATCCCTCCTATCTCTCCTACATATCCTCCTATCTCCTACTATATCTCCTCCTATCTCTCCTACTATCTCCCTCCTATCTCCCCTCCTATCTCTCCTACCATCTCTCCTCCTATCTCTCCTACTATATCCCTCCCTGTCTCTCCTACTATATCCTCCTATCTCTCCTACCATCTCTCCTCCTATCTCTCCTACTATATCCCTCCTATCTCTCCTACTATATCTCCTCCTATCTCTCCTACTATCTCCCCTCCTATCTCCCTCCTGTCTCTCCTACTATATCCCCTCCTATCTCTCCTACTATCTCCCCTCCCTGTCTCTCCTACTATATCCCCTCCTATCTCTCCTACCATCTCTCCTCCCTATCTCTCCTACTATATCCCCTCCTATCTCTCCTACTATATCTCCTCCCTCTCTCCTACTATCTCCCTCCCCTATCTCCCCTCCCTATCTCTCCTACCATCTCTCCTCCCTATCTATCTCCCACTGTTTTATTTCCTCATGTTTCTGCTGCCCACGTGTCTCAGATGTGCTATGTCCAGTCTGCCTTTAATCACCGTGTCCAGCCATGTCATCTCCGTGTCCTAAAGGATTCATCTGGTGGCCTGTTGATGTTATGGTTCTGCAAGTCCCGTGTCAAGTTCCGTGTCCAAATTCCATGTCACACACACACACACACACACACAATTCCCAATAGGCCTTTAACTTGATCCTCCTTGACATAATCAGATAGGTGGAGGCGCCTTCACTTAACTCCGGGTTCTAAAAACTCACTAACCTGCCCCTGGCCCTCAGGTTGTAGCGCCTGGCTGAGCGGTAGTGGTCGCTGGAGACATTTATAAGACACAGGTTCCGAGCCTCAGAGATTCACGTGTTATTTTTTCCCTTAACCGGAGTCGTGAGAATATATATATATATATATATATATATATATATATATATATATATATATATATATATATATATATATATATATATATATATATATATATATATATATCATTTGTCCATCTAAGTTGAGTTGACCCCTTTGAGGACGATGATTAACCTTTGAGGACGATGATTTAACCCTTTGAGGACGATGATTTAACCCTTTGAGGACGAAGATTTAACCCTTTGAGAACGATGATTTAACCCTTTGAGGACGATGATTTAACCCTTTGAGGACGATGATTTAACCCTTTGAGGACGAATTTAACCCTTTGAGGACGATGATTTAACCCTTTGAGGACGAAGATTTAACCCTTTGAGGACGATGATTTAACCCTTTGAGAACGATGATTTAACCCTTTGAGGACGATGATTTAACCCTTTGAGGACGATGATTTAACCCTTTGAGGACGAAGATTTAACCCTTTGAGGACGAAGATTTAACTCTTTGAGGACGATGATTTAACCCTTTGAGGACAATAGTTTAAATCATAGTCCTCAAAGGGTTAAGATATGATGCTCTAGTTCCTACGTTATGGGAGGCTATATGACTGGTTCCCTTACTTAGTGATGGATGGATTCTCATAAGGTTAAGTGAGTACATTGAATTTTTCCTTTACTCGAAGACCATACAACATACTGTATACACACTGTTGATCCCTTCCTAAACTGGAGACGGAAGGGCACAGCTAACCTAACCTAACCTAACCTAACCTAACCAGAACACATCCTTAACCTCACTTACATAAAGAGACATGAAGCTACAACTGCTTTAGACAGAGATTCCGTACCCAGATTATGAGATATAAAAGGTGGGTGATATTAGCTCCTGCTAGAGACACGTTTCACAGCACAGTGTACCGTCGTGGTTACTCCCT